CTGAATTTCACGGTAAAGTTTATTCAGACTGAGAATTAAAATGCGACGCGGTTAAAACCTCATCCCCTAACTTTAACCAATGGAAAACTGTAAAAGCAAGGTATTTTACTAGCCTATCGTGAAACTTAGGACTAAAACCACTTATTCCACGAGTGTCTCCTTGCACCGCGGCCTATTTTCCCCTGTCGAGATTATTTCCGGAGAAGAAATTGAAATAAGCATTATAAGCAAAAAACGCTTAGGGTGAGATCAATTCGGTTCACAGATTTACGAACCAAATCACTCGCGTGACGAACCTCAATTAATGTCGCCCGGAAAAATTAAAACCGATTCAAACGCGGACTGATCTATGATTCGCGTACCAAAACGGTGACACATTCCACGGCGGTGACAACATAAAAACTCAACAAAATTTTGACCGCTGATCGAGAATGAAGGCCCTTACGGAAAAACTGGAATTCTTTATTTCACTTCGAATACTGCCGCTTTTGCAATGTATTAGATATTCTCCATTTTCGTGCAGAGACACATCACATGGTAGCGAGGACAAGCGAGCTCGATAAACTCTCAGGGTGAAGAGATGAAAGAACCCGCGGAGAACCCGGTGCTAATGGTTTATTTTATTTTTTATTTTTTCACCTCTGCGATAATTCAATGCATTTGGCGAGCTAAATTTTCTTACGGCGAGTAATTGCACGGTGGTAGCAACATGCGGACTCGATAAAATCGCAACCGCGGGAACGCAAAGATGACGGACCCTCGAGTAGGCGTTTACTTCACATCGGGATACTTGCGATACTCTGCCGTATTCGATATCCTCGTTTCGCGAAGATCGCGTCGCGGTGTCCGGCTCGGGGGAGGCAGAACCGTCGAGCGGCTCGGGATCGGCACAACTGATCCGCATCTCGCGGGGGGATTCCGAGCACCCTCGCCGCGCCACGGACAACATGCGCTTTGCATGTCTCGCCACCCCCCGCCCCCTCCCCCGCGCCACGACCAACCTCAACGGTGAAAAACCGCCTAACACTTATCCCGGCCGTACGCCCCCCCCCCCACTCGTAAAAGATAAGCTGTAATTCTCCGTGTCGTATTCCCCTCCCGACCGTTGACTGATCCATAAGTTGAGTGGCGGTTGCGAGGCTTCCGCTACTTGAGGTGGAGAGATCTGCGGGCGAGAAGGACCTTCCACTAAACGTGTAGCACAATAACGCTTAAAATGTTTTTAAAATATTTCTGAAAACAATAAAATAAAATGTTTCCAGGTTTCCCAGCCCCACGGAAACCCTGCGACTAGTCGGGTGCGCTGACTTTGGAGTACTAAATTTCCCAAACTACCCTTGTAGTAAATTCTGAACAAATTTAGATGGGACAAATTAAGAGCGAGGCCTGCACTGGGAAAAAAAACACGTTGGATCTAGAGTCCAGACTCTTAAAAACATCGACAAGAAAAAATACTCTTGATTCAATCAGATTTAAGCTTAAATCAAGAACCAAGCTTCTTAATTTGAGCGGATTTCCTATTGATTTAAGCTTAAATCTGATTGAATTAAGTGTCCTTTTTCTTGTCAATGTTTTCAAGAGTCTAGACTCTAGATCCAATGTGTTTTTTTTTTCTTTTTTTTCTTTTTTTTTTTTTCTTTTTTTTTTCCAGTGTGAGTCTTGAATATAAATGCAGCGTACAAGGATACCAATGGTGGGTACCTCTTCATCTCTGATTCTGATTGTTTTGACCTATCCTCAGAACCCACTACTTAAATTTGAGGAGTTATCATTTATAAATATTGTCATATGTATACGCACAGCCATGCTAACAATAAGAAAATGTCGTATAATCATTCAAATGTTGCGAAATTCCCCGCGAGAAAGGGGCGTCGATCATTTCCGCGAGGAACTGAAAAAGGGGCTGGAAATCGGCGATCATTTCCGCTAGGAAATCATCGATCGTTTCCGCAAGTGCAAAAAATGAATATGCACAACGTGGCAACTCTAAGTTGTTGGAATGATCTAGAAGGAGGTTTGCCGGAGAAAATTAACGAAGAACCCTTTACCAGGTAGTAGAAACGAAGCTATCAAACAATTATTTGACAAACAGGAACAAATTTTGTTTCAAAAGGAACAGTTTTGTTTTGTTCACGACACCGAACCCATAGTAATTTTTACATGCACCGAAAACATGAACTTATTGAGTAGCTGCACCGATGCCTTTGCAGATGGAACCTTTTCATTCGCCCCTCAACACTTCACGCAATTATATACTATACATGTTTACGTTCAAAAATTTTACGTTCCTGTTGCTTTTTGCTTCCTTGAAAATAAAACGGAGGCCACTTACAATTTAATGTGGCGACGGTTGTTGGCCATATGCGAACAATTAACAGGTAAAACTTTCTGCTTTTCACACTTTTACGCTGACTTTGAGAAAGCTGCTCATAATGCCGTACTAGCAATGTTTCCGGAATGCCTTATATTGTGCTGCACCTTTCATTTAGCTCAGAATTGGTTTAAACATATTCAGCAAAACAAGTTCCTTCTTAGAGAATATAATACGCCAGATTCTGAAGTGGGCAAATATTTGAAATATTTTTTTGGCCTGCCATATTTACCGCCTACTGAAATAGAAGCAGGTTTCGTTGATTTACTATCGATTGCACCCCCCCAAGTGCCATCTGATTTTTCCGATTATGTCTTAGAAACGTACATAGACGAGGCGGCACTGTTTCCTCCTAGCATGTGGGCAGGCCCCCCCTCTGATGGGCCAAGAACGACCAATGGACCTGAATCCTTCCACAGCAATTACAATAAAAATTTTTACCATCGGCCTTCAATTCATAGTGTCACGCAAGTTTTACTAGAAACGCAAGCTCTCACAATGACAAAAATTAACTCAATCAAGAAGCAATCTACAAATGTTATCCGGAAAGAAACCGCCGATCGACTTGCAACATCCATCCAGGCATGGAATACATGCAAAGAAGCATTAGAAGGAGGCTCTGAAACGGCTCGCTTGAGGTACCTGAAGTTTATGGGATACCGATTTCACGGGAAGAAAGTTTAAAGTTTTCGACTTAAAATGTGACGTGATAATTATTTTATCTTAAAAAAAAACTGTGCGCACAGTTTCTTTGTTGTTTTTTTTTAAAGTGGATTTTGAAATGTTGAGATGTGCAAAAATCCTTACCGTGCGGACAGTTTCTTTATTTTTTTTTAAAAAGAAAGAGGTTTTTTGAAATTTTGCGATTTGCATATACGTGATTTAAGGGAGGGGGGGAAAAAGTTCCGAACTTTTACTTTTTACAAAATGAAGTGGAGTTTTGGAACTTTTTGTCAACCGACCTCTTGTATCTTCTTTTGCTACTTCAAATCACAGTCTTCTTCTTGAATCTTCTTGAATCAATGGGTGAGTACATTAATGTTTATTTAGAGGATAGTTTCAGGTTTGCCGACGTTGCCAACTCCTCCAAATGGTAACAAAAATTGTCATGAAATAATTTGCGGAAATGATCGCCGATTTCCAGCCCCTTTTTCAGTTCCTCGCGGAAATGACCGCCGCCCCGAGAAAGCACGTATGTTTAAGAAGTGTTAATTATAATCTACTTGGAGAGTGCGTTTCGGATTATTACGATCACGTCACGTACGAAATTCACTGGAAAATAGAAAGAAACTCATGATTTTTCCAGGAAATCTGTGTTTCATCAAACGAAATTTGGCGACAGCCGAAGGTCAATACGGCATTTTTTCTTGGCCCTTGTAATGCCCGCATTCCTTATTTTAAAATGCCGTCGTTTATAAATGTAAGTGTTATGCTTGCATCCGTAATGTGAAAATCAAGCTCGCAACCAATCAGCATATAGGTCAACGGGACCCGGAACATGCAAACTATTTGAACTCTGGATTAGGTATGTGATGTGGTATCTCGAGAAATTGAAGGATAATCTTAGCTTTTCGCCCATCTTGAGTTGATGCCGAATTCCGTGTCTGAATAGTATGATAGCATCGGCATCAAAATCGCGTATTTTCCGTCATGTTCAGGGGTAACTCGTTTACTTTTTAGAGTCTCTCAATACAGCTAAAAAAAAAGTCGAGCATGTTCCGCGATTTTCACGTGGAAATGTGGTAATCATTTATCACATTTTTGCAAAAAAGCTAAAAAAATACCGCATTTTCCGTGGTGCTGAGGAAAAATACGAGAAATGTTTTGATATTTAAACAAAATTATTGGGAAATGCGCGGACTTGCCGTAATATTGAGATAGTAAACGAGTAGTTTCTCTCTCTACAAAACGGATGGAAAAAACGCGGATTTATCGCGAAACTGAGACGAAAATCGGTAAACTTTAATTTCATGTTTGTGCAAAACCGCTGATGGAATCGCGTATTTTTTAATGTTCATGGAAATTTGCATTAAAATGTTTCATCAATCAACACTGGTCTGAGTGGACACCAAGGTCGCTACCGTAGTCGAACTCCGGAATGGGTGTGTGATGTGGTGTCACGCGAAAATGAAGGCAAATCTTAGTTTTTCACCTGCTTCAAATTGCTACCGTTGATGAATGCCACAATTTTCATGTAAAAGTGCGAAATTTACTTTTTAATACAAAACCGCTAGAAAATCACGCGTTTGCCGCGATACTGTGGTGAAATAAGCGTAATTTTTCATATTTTTACAAAATATTTGCGGTGATATTATAAGGTAACAAACGCGCGATTTCTCACTTTGTTTCAAATCCGCTGGAATAATCACATATTTGCCGCGATACTGATGAAAATCACGTTTAATTTCATAAGTTTTTCCCCCAATTTTTTGTTGACCTTCGTAACACTGTTTTTGCAAAGCAAGATGACTCTGTAATCAGACAAGGACACTTGGGCTCTCAATGTATTTCCCCTGATAAAGAAAAAGGAAAGACTCCATGAGTAGGTTTCACATAGTTTGACACACTGCGCTCGATAAAATGACAAAGATAATACATTTCATAAAATATTCAATACTAATTTACATACCATGGAGCAGCTAGCATCACGTGTTTCTGGAAAAATAAAAAAACAAAGTTGTCAAAACTTGGAACGATAAAAATGTAGACATTCTGGGGACACAAAGTGAAAATTTTAAGAAGGATTTACAGAAGCTTGTCAATGATTGAAAGTTAGGAATTTTTCCTGATTCTTCACGATGAAATATTCCTAACAATAGAAAGTAGAGACGAGTTGTCTGTTCCGTTTTGTGCAATGAGATCAACGAAAAACGATTTCAAAGTTGCGATTCTGAGTTCCAATTTAAACGTACATCGCTGCGCGCGGGAGTCAAGATGTCGTCCGAAAATATCCGTCCCGCCTTGGGCACCTCCTTAAACGCGTAACATTTCTGTCGCGAATTACTGCCCATGCAGCAGTTATCAATATGAGACTTCGCGAGGCGCACAGACACAGACCATGAATCGCGACAAAAGAGTCACACGGCCTAAAGTGTACTTACCCGAGGCGGGGCGGATATTTAGGACGCCATTTTGACTTTCTCGACGAGGCACATTTGAATGGAAGATCAAAAATCGCAAATTGAAACTCGTTGAATGTAGGTGATTCTGGTTCAAAAAAATCCGGAATAGTTCTTTGGAATTCCGCACTTTTCAAAAATACAGTGATTAAAAAATTACTTAACAAGCCCATTATGACAGGGAAGACTTGACTAAGTCAAATTTGAGATACATTTATTACTTTTTGCTTTCAAAGAGCCGAACAACTCAAAAAGCTCTATCGAAATCATGCAAAATTTTATGGGTCTTCAAAATGTAGCTACTTAGGTAGGCATGTAAAAAATATACCTGATTTGACTTAAACCCTGCGAAGTAGACATACTATTTTAAAAATGGTTTCTATTTTAATTGTAAGAAGTTCCTAATTTAGATTTTCTGGGTGGAAATGAGTAATGGATGGCAAATTTTAGGATAATTGTGACTGGATCTGTGAGAGGGGACCCACTTTTTTTGGAGAAAAATGCTCCTCAACTTTTGGCAAAAAATTGAACCACGTTTTTCTACAACCTAATAGTTTTGTCTTGGAACTTTAGGGCTAACGTCTCCTTCAATTTTAGAGGTATTGGAGTCAAACTAGGGACAACATTTCCAGATATCTTCTCAGTATGCATTCGCAAAAAGTCAAGGAAAATTTTCTTCCTATACATAAGGTCTCTTCTCACAAATATGATCACACTAACGTTTATTACTGATTGTTTCTATGTAAAAAAATCGTGAGAGGACATCAAATCCTAAAACTTTCTCGACGGTTATGGTAACGATGTTTACCTTTCTCGTTTTAGTGACTCCTACCATGCTACCTTATCACGTAGTGTGTAGAAATGATCAACATTTTTCCTGCAACTGGTAACTGCAAAGGGACAATGGATTAAAAGATACAAGAATAAAACACAAATTGGATACGTACCAGCAGAGAGTTATCCAATTGCCCGACGCCAAGCTGAAAACACTCGCGACGCGACACTATCTCTAAAACCGCTCGGTGCACTACAAAATTGGCTACGAAAAAGCCAAAAAATGCATACTAAATATTTAGGGAAAAATTACAAATTCGCCAGGAAACGAATCATACGTATGCATGAGTGGTTAAATCAATTAAATTCTGCTCAAATTCGGTGTTTACATATTTCAGATGACAATATACTTGGTAAGAATATGAAAAAAAGTTAAGAAAAATCATTATAATAAAATTAAATGTGATATTAATAATTAAAGGTGTATCTTCCAGAAACACAACCAGGTGCAAATTTTTCTTTGGATGATCAAAACCGAAAAAAGGAGAGAAAAATAAAATTAAAAAGAAACCATTATGCATGATGTGAGAGTATGCATGCTTCCATTGTATTAGCGTCTAGTTGCAGATAAAATATTTTTCAATTTTTATTTTGGTTACAATTGCTTTAATTGCTTGGAATCCTAAAATAAATAACATTTGCATTATTTCTGTACACATGATAAAAGATCAAAATTATTAATTGTCTTTATTGACTGTCTTAATTTGTCTGTAATTCTGGAGATCCGCCACCACGCTGCGCTGCCTCACGGTTTCCGTCTTTGAGAAGCAATAATTATCGTAATGTACAAGATAATGCAAGAAACTAATCAAACTGATCAATAACGTGTGGCAGCATTAATACTGAGTAGAATGACAAGCTAATATAAGAAACTGATCCATAACGCGTGGCAGCATTAATACTGAGTAGAATGACATCAAATTTGTGTACATTCGTTGTAAATTTGTACCTGAAACTATGATAACGGACGTCGCCCATTGGCTCAATGTGTAAGAGAGAGTCATCTCTCTTACACAGCAGGCACATTTTCCTGAAACCTCCAATTTCGTGCAACGTAAATAATTATAAAATAACAAGCACTCGTATCAAGAAGTGTTTTTGCATGAATAGATACATGTCATATATCTCGACTGAATTACTACGGTTTATCTCGCAATTACTCAAAAAATAAAAGATAAGTAAATCGGATGCATCGCAAAAAAAGAGCTCCCCCAAAAAACTACATGATCTCTACCAAAGTTGAATTGTTTAACGATGATCATTACAATCATTCTCAATTTTAAGTTATGATTGCAAAGATAGTTAGTTCAGGGTTGGGCAAAATTCCCTCACTATTCGAGGTTTTCAAGGACTTCTAAAAAAACTGCTCACCCTAGAATGTACATCATTGACAGGGCTACCGATAATCCTACTCAGGTTTTGCAAAAATTTTACCCACCCACACTACTCACCAGTCTAAACTTAACTCCCGCTTTACTCAGTGTTCTATATTTGACTCTCTCTTCACTCACTGTTTCTCAATTTTTAGGACTCGCACTTCACTCGTCGTTTCTCGATTTTTCTCACTCTTCACTCACAATTTGTTGATTACACTCACTCTGAGACTCATCATTTCGCGATTTTACTCTTACTGCACACAGATCGTCACTCCCGCTTTACTCAGTGTTCTATATTTGACTCTATCTTCGCTCACTGTTTCTCAATTTTAAGGACTCACACTTTATTCGTCGTCCCTCGATTTTTCTCTCTCTTTTTGCGAAGTTTCTCGATTTTACTCACTCTTCACTCACAATTTCTTGATTTCACTCACTCTGAGACTCATCATTTCTGGATTTTACTCTTATTGCACACAGATCGTCCTCGGTTTAAATCAGCCTTTACTCGTCGTCCTTGATTTAACTCGCTGATTCCTCACACAAATGGCGCCACATACGAACTCTAAGGATCTTTCATCATTCCATTGATTGCTTAAGAACAGTTCATGATAGGTAAGTCATGAATAACTTAGTGCTCAAACTTTACCCACCAATGCTCAAATTCCTTAATACGATGTTGTTACCCGCAAATCGGCAACCCTGATTATTAATAAAACAAGTAACTAATTTAAAAAATATTTCAAAATTTCATAATTTCATATGAGGGGGGAAAAGTGCAAAATGCTTAATTAATTGTATGAGTATCCATGTTTTCACTCAACCCGATGACGAAGAGTTGCTCTAGCTAACTTAAGTTTCCTTGCAAATTAAGAAATATTTGATTCATTATGCACGAAAAAGACGGAAAGTTTTACGTTAAATTGATAAAAATAATCGTTGTGTACAAGAAACACCCTAACGACGAGAGCAAAATTTCAGCTGTGACAGCGAATTTTTCCTTTGGGCGATGAAATACGTACTTCTGGTTCCCTGTAAATCAAAATTACTTTAGCACTACAAGTAAACGTCCGTTATCAAACATGCCATCATCATCATGACGCTGACATGCGTCCCGTGAATCCAAGGGCGGAGCAGGATGTCGGAATAAGCGAGCCAACGATGCAAATCTTCGCATGATCATTCAAATATTTGCAAAATCAAATAAATACAACATTTTTCTTAGTTCCAACAACCGCTTTTACTGCTAAGGGAGCAGCTCTTTCCAGTCGTTGAACTCTGCTTGTTCTTCTTTGTGTTATCCTTCTCCCTCTCATCCTTTTTTTGCTGCTGCTTTCTCCTCTTTCTCAGCCCGCTCTTCATTTCCTGATATCACTGCTCTTGCAGTCTCTTCCTTTGTTTTTTTTTTTTCTTTTGCTAATCTGCATACTCTGTTTTGTGTCTGCTGCTTCTTTTGCTGCTGTGATGCTGATTCTTCTTCTCTTGCTGCTGTATCTACTTCTGCAGCTACTAATGTTTCTTTCTCTTCCTCCTTCTTCTTTGATTGTTTCTTCAGATTATGATTCTGAAAATGCAATGCGGTTCTTGGTATGGGGGAGAGGACGAAAGGATTCAGAATGGCACAGAATTCTAGAATTTAAGTTTCTCACTTGTTATGTCAGACTACTTTGCTTTATTCAATGCGAGAAGGAAATGTTAAAGAAGCAATACATTAAAAAGACACGGAAAGGAGGGTTAGATTTTAAATAAACTACGAAAGAAAAAGAAGAAAGTAATTTGAATGGGTCAGTTGCGCTGGTCACAGAATCTTGTTTTGATGCTTCAATCTTGTAGATTAGCTAAAAATAATAAGATCTGCCTAAATAGCAACCTTCTACGTGGAATATTAACCGAGATATCGCGCCTTGAAAAACTCGAAGTATGACGTCATCCACCGCGGTGGATGACGTCAAAATTCCGTCTTTTCAGAGGACGATATCTCGGTTAATATTCAACGTAAAACGTTGCTGTTTGGACGGATCTTCTTATTTTTAGCTAATCTACAAGAAGAATGCATCAAAACCCGATTCTGCGACCAGCGCAACTGGCCCATTCATAAATGGAGAAACACCCGTGGTGTCATCCAGCAATCACTGCATGTCTGTAGTCGCTAAAACTAAAGACAGAAATTTGGGCATGCGGCCACAGCGTCAAGCAAACTTGCGCCAACCGCTTATAATAGTTTTTTTCAATAATGAGTCAGTTGCGCTGGTCTCGGAATCGAGCTTTGATGTTTTATACTTGTATATCAGCTAAAAGATCTGCTCTACCATCAACTCTCTACGTTCAATATTAACAAAGATATAGGCGCTTTGAATTTGCTTTATGACATCATCCACCGCAGCATTGACACCCATGGTTTCTTCCACGATGAAAGGAAGGTGGTGCCACTACCGCGGTGGATGATCTCATAAACCGAATTTTTCAAAGCGCCTATATCTTTGTTCTTATTGAACGTAGAAAGTTGCTGTTCGGACAGATCTTTTAGCTCATCTACAAGAATCAAGCATCAAAACTGGATTTTTAGACCAGTGCAACTAACCCATTCTAGGATTAAAAATGGCTTAGCTAAGATCGAGAGTGAGTTAATGCGAGGGATAAAACGCGCCCACCCTCTCATTCTGCACAGCCCTGACCTGCTCTACCCTGCCTCACCCAGCACAACCCTGTCCTACTCTGCCCAGCCCTGCCCTGCCCTTCTCAGCCCAGCCCTTGCCTACCCTGCCCTGCCCAGCTCTACTCTGCTCTACCCTGCCTCACCCAGCCCAACCCTGCCCTAATCTACCCAGCCCAACCTAGCCCTACCCTACCCTACCCAGTCCAGCCCAGCCCTGCCCTGCTCTACACCGCCCAGCCCAACCTTGCCCTAACTAGCCCAGTCCAACCCTGCCCTAACTAGCCCAGTCCAACCCTGCCCTAGCCAGCCAATCCCGCATCCCAACCCTGCCCTAACCAGCCCAGCCCAACCCTGCCTTGCCCAAGTCAGTCAGTCAGTCGGTCGGCCACGGTAAAAAACGAGTTGGCGGCTGAAACCCAAGAGGACAGTAAGAAGGCATCACTTGACTTTCCCCATGTTTCATCACTGTCGTTCAGGTCCTAAAACGGTCCTAAACGACAGTAACGAAACACGAAGGTGGCCAGGTAGAGCCTTTTGCTCGTCGACTTGTGTCACAGACGCAAACTCGTTTTTAACCGCGGCTGGTAGCGATGCCCTAATAAAAGCCGCCACGATGAGTGTCCCAAAAGCGTGCAATCGGGGTGCACGCGTCATCATCAAACAACTGTCCATGTTCGATGACAACACTAACATCCTGAATGCACGCATACATGGAGCACTCACGATGGTTTCTTTTACCAGAGCACCAGGAGCCATAATGACCAAAGGTCGAAAAGCAAAAGGGCACCGTACACCGGTGCCCTGGCACCATCCACGGGGCCAGACCCGCGGTCGGGGCGGTGTCCGCGGTACCTCTCCTCTAGTGCATCCGGACGGTGTGACGTCCGCCGACCGGGCGGATGACCGCGCGCCGGACAGTCCACAGAGTGCTCGGTCGGACGACGAAGCCTCCATCTCAGCTTCACTTTCAGTCCGAGGTTAAATACATCGGCCTGAGAGTGAAGCTGACACGGAAGCACCGTCATCCTGTAGAGCAGTCGGTGGACCGTCCGACGGGTATCCACCCGCTCGACGGACGTCGGACCGCAATCCGCCGACCGGACGGATGACCGCGCGCCGGACAGTCCACAGAGTGCTCGGTCGGACGACGAAGCCTCCAACTCAGCTTCACTTTCA